AGTTTTGATTGCAAATGCTATGACTCTCTTTGATCTTAATCTTTCTATTCTTCCTTCCTCACTGCTCTTTGAAGAATATAACTTCTTACCACCAATACAAAAAAAAAAAAAAAAAAATCGAATAAATTTAGGCTCTCAATATCTCCTCATGTTTCTTGCTCCTTGCAAGACCCAAAATTCGGTGCACTGATGCTTTCCCCTCCTCCTTTTATATCAATTCTTCATGCTAATCCTTCCATTATTCTTCCTCTATCTTCTCCATGTGAAGTAGCCCCCCACACCATGTGATGGAGTTTCCACGGGATGATTCAAGTGATATATATTTATGGGTTCGCTTTTTCTACAGTTTACTGCAGATAAATTATCTGCAGTAAGCCAATACGACGTCGTTTTGGGACGGAAATCATGGTATATTTGTAATTTTAATTTATTTTAGGGTTATAATAATATTTATATTTATAATTTTTTAAGATTCCAATCCCAAAACGACGTCGTTTTGGGAATAAATGCAGATAACTTATCTGCATTAACTGCTGAAACATTTTTCCCTATATTTATTCCGCTTTAGCAAGTTTTTGAGTTTTTGTATTTATAAAAGAAAAAAATTCTTTTTTTGGGATAATTAACCTAGGGGTGTGCATGGGTCATGTCGGGTCAGATTTTTGTGCTGACTCGACCCAATTTATTTTTCTTGGTCAGGTATTTTGACCCGATCCGATTTAATTTGATCCAAGTCAGGTCTGACTTGGTTTAAATTTTTTTGAATTAGTTTAGAACTGGATCGGATCTGACTTGACTTGGTTTCTGAAATGGATCTGACTTGGTTTCTGAAGTGGGTCAAATTCGACCTGACCCGTTTTTGACTTGGTTTCAAAACATGTTTTTAATTTGATCTTTTTTATAGTTATTGATTTATTTTTTAAACTCATGTAATTTAATTATTTATTTGTTTTAAAATATATAAATTTTATAATATATTTGATATTTGTTGAATAAATAAAGGAATGTAATTTTAAGCCCCTTGCACATGTGAAGCAAAATTAGTGAAAATTAATGAAAAGTAAAGGATTAGAGAACGATATTCCCATCTTAAGATGACAAATAACTAATTTTAACAATGATATATTATAAAATTATATAATGTCTACTGATAGGAAATTCATAAATTCAAACCCAAATTATACAATTATTATTAGGGAAATATCAATTAGTTTAAGGCAACTCTTTGCTAATATGATTGTATATATATAATTTTAGTTATCAACTACAAAGAAAATAGAAAATGTAAAAGAATTAGATTGATAAACAGCGACATATTATATAGGTAGAATGGTTGTATAGAAACTTTTTCATTAAAGTAATAATTGTAACTCCACACATAATAACTCAAATAAAAATTGGACAAAGAAGTAGTTGCTAATTTGCTGAGCTCAATTTGCAGCGAGCCTTCAAGATTATTATGCGAGACATTTATGAAAATTCTCAGTTACCATGCACCTAAATTTTACCAGAAAAGCTACGATGTAAAAGCCATTAAAATAAAATAAAAAACGAAGGAATAGAGAGAAAGGAAATCTACTGCTTGTTATGAAATGAAGGAGACGATGTTGGAAGGACCAGAGAGTTAAATCCATAGCAATAACAAAGACCATTATAGCAAAACATGGCATCAATCAGGTATTCAGGCATATCATACCATATGGATTTAAATTAATCAAGAAGCTCGAGATTGAGGACAAGAAAAGTCGAGAAGCATATGGGAGATCCTCTTTGGTGGAGTGTAAGAATGTGACAGAGAGAAGAGAGAACTATAATTGTGATTTTTTTTTCACATAATGGATGTGGGTCAAGTTTTGGGTCAATGAATCATTATTAAAACAAGTCAGGTTTAAAACTGACCCAAATAAAAGTGGATCAGTATTTAAACTCAGTTAAAAAAAAGGTATTCGTGGGTCAGGTCAAGGTCAGATCAAGATCAGGACAAGTGAACCATTTTTTTTGCACACCCCTAAATTAACCCCACCATGATGTGAATGTTCCCAACTCTAACGATATTGCCTCCGGTGAAAGATATTTGTGGTTGATCCAAAAAAATAAAATCTCCCACCATGACTAATAATGTGAGGAGCCTACCTCTTCATCCATCTTCTTGTTTCCTTGCTATTGGCTTTAGGGTTTTCCCCTTCATCATTGTGCTTCCATGATGCCCTGTTTAACTGCTTGCTTGAAAGAAAATAGAGGAGGCGTGTTTTTATATTATATTAATTATTTATATTTTATTATTATTTTTATGAATAAATTCACACAGAACAGGGAAAAAAAACACTAGTACAAATATGGGTGTTCACAATATGAATAAAATTTTGCAAGGCAATATAATTTTATTTATATTGTTTGGAGTAACATATAATATTTTTAAGAGGTAAGATATTTTTTACTCTAGTGTAAGATTAAGAAGTCTTATTCCTCATTTCAGTTGTTCATTTCCGTTTATCTAAGTGTTACACTATAGTCTTACACTATAGTAAAACTATTAAGATCCCTCCTCTATTTTTAAATATTTAGGTTGGATTTTTAATTATTATTTTTTTGGAAGATCTTGGCTTGTGGATACAAGATCTGTCACTGCCTGCAGAACCATTTAAGTGTACAAGAAAAAAAAAAAAAAAAAAAGGAGTAACTCTCGGAATTAACGTAGGAGAAGAATATCACCAACTACCAATATGAAGTGTATTCCATTTCCAAATGATAACCCACACAAGTGATCCCATACTTGATACACATACAACCCAAATAATAAACTTAGCAATTCAATGACACTTGTGTGTGAGCGAGCTAAGCCTCCAATTTGAACCCATCATTGTGTGTGAGATGACTACGAACTCGCTTCATGTGCATATAAAGAGCAAGAACCATAAGAAAGAGGCTGAAAAGCAGGACAAGAACCAGCAGCAATATCTCACCATGTTGAGCAAATTTTGGGTCGCTGGAGAAGAGTAACTCATCATTATTTTGATGATTACTAGGTACTATAGAGGGTGAGAGGGAGAATGTTTCATTGGCCATGAAGCTTTTGAGAGTGTTTGGGTAAGTATTACTTGTTAGTACATAGAGGGGGTGTTTATCTAATTGAGGCACCAAGTTTGTGATCAACTTGGGCACAATTTGAAGGGTCTTCAAGTTTATTAGCAAGCTGGTTTTGACCGTATTATTGAAACTGACGAGGGAAAGAGGGTCTTGAAAGGAGACAAAAAGTTCGAAAGAAGCCATTACCTTAAGGAAAATATGGTCCAAAATTTGTTGTACATGTCCTTGTGTTTGTGTGTGGGTTGTTCATCTTGGAGATAAGCATCTTTTGCAATGATTATAATTCGTGTCAGATTGGCAATGGGTCTTGTCTGATTTTTTTAAGGAATTCTCACAATGATTAACTAGGTGGTTCGTGTCTCGTACCCCCAGTTGCTTCGTTCCAGGTTGCGTTAGTTTATTTTGAGATTTTAAGAAAATTTGTGAACAAAAAATAAATATTTCTTAAGATAATAAAAAAATTTGATACTAAGCATGCATTTAAACCGGTCCCATCATGAAATAAAAAAGTTGGTCCAAAATTATCTTCATTTAAAAAATTGAAAACATAAGGAATTTATTTTGGTATTATTATAAGAGGTAGGATATTCTTACTACCTATTTTTTCTACTACCACTCCACTACCACTTTAATCACCATTGGATTCAAAAGTTATTTTTTTTTTCTCTCTTCATTCAACTTTTCCTTTAATCAAATGGTAATTAGAGTGGTAGTGGAGTGGTAGTAGAAAAAATAGGTAGTTAGAATATCCTAGCTCTTATTATAATATCATATTATTTTTATGAGTGTATGATTTTTATATAAATTTTGTAACTTTTTTTACGAATGGGTAGCACTAGTAAAATTTTTGTAACTTCTTACATCAGTAAGTTTTTTCAACAATATGTAATGTAATAATAGACACGTTACAAATTTTTTATTAAAAATTATAAGCCCAAGAAAGAAATTAAAAGTTATATGATAACACTAAAGTGAACCCCACTCCTAATTCCTAAAGTTTTATACTATGCAATCTTATGCACAGGAAAGCTATGGTTTGTATGACGTTATGGAAAAAGTTGTAGCAATTAAGAAGCTAGTGAGGTACATTCTATCTCCTTTACTTTTTCTGAAATGGATGGAATAGACAGGAGCTTACTATTTTCAAAGAAACATGCTTGTATATCATGTGTTGTTTCAACCGACAGTTCAGGGACCCTAGGACTTTAGGAATATTGGTTTGAGTTTAGTCCTGTTTTTTGGGTGACAGTGAACAGTGGAAGCAGGAATCTGAATAAATCTCTTCAGTCATGATAGATTTCTATATAAGACCTGTTTTCTGTAAAAAAAAATAAAAGGTCACAAATAGAGGATGTAAAGAAAAGTATGTATTGTGACTTCCGTAAAAAAAAAATGACAAATCTGGATGCACAAGACTTTCGACTTGCGAGAATAAGGATAAGAATCGACACAGCATTACTCTTAAATTGTTAAGGAGACTATTCCCGAATTCGAACATGCGACCTTTCGATTACGACAGCAATTTTACTGTTGCTCTATGGCTCATCCTCCCACTTATAGATTTGTTTACATTAATAAACTAAAATATAACACATTTTATCTGTAAGGGAGGGAGTATATAATTTATCTTTGGGTTTTATAATTTTCATTCAACATGAGAATTCAAATTTTCCTACACACCCTTCGATTTCCGTGCTAAAATGAGTCCTACATATAATTTTTTCCAACACATGGGTCCCACATGTTTTTTATCTCTACAACATGAGAATTGAATTCTCATTCAGCATGAGAAAATCAAACCCCTTTATCTTTATAGTCTAATCCTGCAGGTGACTGATGAACAAGTAAATATTGTCGCAATGCAGCTCACCGAAATACGGAATACAAATTGTAAACAGTTTTAAGTCAAAATGAACGCCCCTAATAAAAGCATAACTTATGCACAACTTTACAAAGAGAAGATAAAAAAACAAAGTGAACCGAATATGCAACAATATTATTCAAAGTAAAAAGAATCTAATTTGTTCTACATGTTTTGTCCAAAATTAACTACACCAGGAGTATTAAACGTACGCAACCTTACCTCTGAACCCTGCAACTAAAATTCGTGACCACCATAACCTTCTTGTTGCGTCTAAAGCAAACTTGAACCTTGAACAAGGATGAATGCCCAATATTATGGTGTTGTATAAGCTTTTATAATTTAATGTTCAATAGCAATTTCTGAACTAATCAAACCGCTCCCAATCTTGAGTTATTTTTGTTGAAGATGAGGTTGGTGATGGGGCATTCGAGCTTTCCATTCCAGATTCAAAGGTTTCCCATTGGGTTGTTACCGTGACAGCATTGTCACTGAAAGGGTTGGAGTTTCTTGCCTTTAGAGAATCTAAAGTATCCACTAAGTTCTGCACACGACGCACCTATCGAAGGGTGGAAAAGCTTGTGTGAAGAGATGATGCAATTTACTACAGATGATTATCAAACAGGGAAGTCCACACCAGAGGGCAATATTTTAAACAGAAAGGAAAACATCCCTTCACTACAAGAAAAGAATATAAAAAAAGAAAATGGCGAGAAAGTATTAATGAAGTAAATAACGCTAACAATTGACAAATAACATGTTTCAACTCCCGAGGAAATCCATTACCACTCGCTAATCATAATACATTTGGTAAGTGATTAGAGCCATACACTTGACATGAATAGCAAAATGGAATAAACTATGATGATATGGCAAAATTTTCAGAATGTAAAGGACACATGGATTTTGCAGAGAACTCAGATTTCCACATGGTAATAAACAATTGCAGCACCCAAGCTAGTGATAAATTTGAAGGTCAAGGTAGTTGGGATTGAAATAAAGTCCCTATTTTTCCAATACCCGATACTTCTTATTCAAATTTTCATATTATGTGAAGTCCAAATAAAAACAAATTAAAAAAAAAAGTACGCTAACAATGAAATCAGGACTGCGGCAGAACCTACACTTATTCCTAATAGAACACATTAATATAGCCAAATATTCCTTTCGTCCCCAAGCCTTCATCTTTGAAGAAAAATATCTCATTAGTGTAGCAATTACGTTCATCAGAATTTTCAAAGTTTCGAGGACCACTACATGAACTTTGTGATAATATCAAACCCACATAGTTTTTAAAAAAGCTACCAAAGAAATTTTACTTGCAAGTGGGACATGATTCGGAAGGTTGAGAAACATCTTCAAAAAATGCAAATCATATTTTTGAAAGAAAGTAAATTAATAGAATTTCATACATAATGAAACATTTAAACATGTCAGACATCTAATGTATATGAAACACTTGCCTGCATTACTTACCAACACGACACCTAAGTAGAATTTCATACATAATGAAGATTCATAAAGAAAGTTCAATCTATGAAGGCAGAAAGACCTCATACAAATCAAATGAATTTTAAAAGCAATCCATAAAGGAGGCCTCATGTAAATCAAATGATTTTGAAAACAAATCCATAAAGCTGCGGAAGGCAAAAATTAAGGCAGTCAGAATGACTCAACGAGTTGGTGCTCAAACAAATCTAAAAGACCAGATAGCTAAGAAAAATGATAGCATCTATAGTTTGTCAGAAAAATTTCCTGATGCAAAAAATCTCTGCATAATGTTCTAGAATTTGAGCCGAAACATTTTAAAAGAAGCAAAAGGATAATGATTGGATAGCTAGCCTAGTAGAAATGGTTTAAGGACAACCTCCATCTTGCTTGTTGAAAAATGCTCTCTTTCCAGTTTGAACAGCCCCAACGTCACTATGCCTAAAATTTATTTAAATATCCGGCATTCTTGAGAAGAAAAAAAGAAGAAAGAGCTGAACAAAAATTGGAAGAAGTCAAGAGTTATTCGTGTTCTGTGGAATACTCTCTTGTACTTACCAACTGACCGTTTGAGTAGATAAAGCTAGTACTGATATCTTCATATAAGATCTCCAGTCTAATAAAGAGATACTCGACCTCAATATGTGTAGTCATCTAATGAAATATTGGACCGGAGGCGATATGAAACACAGCTTGATTATCATAGATAAGTGTTATCTGCATAACCTCTCCAAATCATAACTCTCCAAATTATGAGATTGTTCAGTTTTCCAATTACCCTTCTGTATCTTCCTAGATCCAAAAGTAACTCCCCCTAATTTGGTAAGAATTTAGCATTTGGATATGTAGAGAATCAAAATTAATTCTTGTAATACTTCCATATATCAGGGATATGATAATGGCACCAGTCAACAGAACACAGTAAAATGATCAATGAACAAGGAAATTAATTCTGAATATAACATATATTGCTGAATGATACGAACCCACTTTGGTTTGGGCCTCACATGCAATAACTGACCCAATTGGAAATGTCGTTAACATGTGGAGATACTGACTGAAATGTGTGAGTATCATGGAGTTTGTTATATAGAGGGGAGGTAGTAAGGAAAGGGGACATCAGCAATTTAGGAGAATCTTGGACCCTTTTGGGATTGGGAGAGAGTGGAACCTCTCATATGTGTTCCACAACTATCTTTACTTTTTGCATTGTTAATTTCCATTAGAATTCTGTATTTCTTTCCAAGTTATCCTTTCACTGTAATGGATGTTCTGTTGTAATGGATGCTGAGCAATATTCAGATTTATTTCCTTGAGTAATTTCTGTTAATTGTTATCTGAGTTGGTCCTTATCAATTGGTATTATTGATACACTTGAATATAAAATAATAGAAGAATAATATGTTGTGTATTGATCTGTGTCAGAGAGTTACACTATATTGAGACCCTAATGGGCTTAAGTGAAAGGCCCAAACCTAATCCTAATACAGTCAGAATATTTACGGATAAGACGGAATCCAATCATATCTAATCATATCTAATCATATCATATCTAATATTCTAACACTCCCCCTCAAGCTGGTGCGTATATATTATGAGCACCAAGCTTGTTACAAATGTATTCAACCCGAGGACCTCTAAGAGCTTTAGTGAAAACATCCGCTAGTTGATTAGAGGAGTTGACGAAAGCAGTCTTGATTTCTCCTGACTGAATCTTTTCTCGAATGAAGTGACAATCAATCTCTATATGTTTGGTCCTCTCATGAAAGACAGGATTAGAGGATATATGTAGCGCAGCTTGATTATCACAGATGAGTGTCATGGGTTGTTTCTGTTCACAAAGATGAAGCTCCTGAATCAACTGCTTTAACCAGACTAACTCACAGGTAGCATTTGCCATTGCACGATACTCAGCTTCTGCACTAGATCGAGCAACAATAGGTTGTTTCTTGCTCTTCCACGAAATTAAGTTTCCTCTAAAGAAGACACAATAGCCAGAAGTAGAGCGCCTGTCCGAGGGTGATCCTGCCCAATCAGCATCTGAATAACCACAAATTTCTGTATTTCCCTGATCTGAATACAACAAACATTTTCCTGGTGCTCCTTTGATGTATCGGAGGATCCTCACAGCAGCATCCCAATGTGAATCACAAGGGGAATCAAGAAACTGACTAGCCGTACTAACAGCGAAAGAAATATCTGGCCTAGTCACAGTAAGATAGTTGAGCTTCCCAATTAGCCTCCGATAACGTCCAGGATCAGATAACGGCTCCCCCTGTCCGGGCAATAACTTGACATTAGGATCCATAGGTGTATCAACTGGTTTACTCCCCAACATACCAGTTTCTTCTAGGATATCCAGGGCATATTTCCTTTGACAGATAGAAATGCCCTGTCTAGATTGCGCCACCTCAATTCCCAAGAAGTAACGCAGCTTCCCAAGGTCCTTTGTTTGAAATGTACTAAACAAATGCTGTTTTAACTGACGAATTCCGTCTTGATCACTTCCGGTGAGAATAATGTCGTCAACATAGACTAACAAATAGATACACTTATCAGGAGATGTAATCCTATAAAACACAGAATGGTCAACTTTACTGCGGATTAAGCCAAACGCCTGAACAGCAGAACTGAAGCGACTGAACCATGCTCGAGGAGACTGCTTGAGACCATATAAGGATTTCCGAAGACGACACACCTTTCCAGACTCCCCCTGAGCAACAAAACCAGGTGGTTGCTCCATGTAAACTTCTTGTAAATCACCATGAAGAAAGGCATTTTTGATGTCAAGTTGAAGGAGTGGCCAGTGACGAACAGCAGCAAGGGCAAGAAAGAGGCGGACTGACGCCATCTTAGCGACCGGAGAAAATGTATCGCTATAATCAAGGCCAAAGATTTGAGTAAAACCCTTGGCAACTAAACGTGCCTTGAGACGATCAATATGGCCATCAGGTCCAACTTTCACAGTAAAAACCCAGCGACAACCAACTATAGACTTCTCTGGAGGAGCAGAAACAAGGTCCCAAGTGCCATTGGAATGAAGTGCAGTCATCTCATCAAGCATTGCTTGGCGCCACCCTGGATGGGAAAGTGCTTCACCTGTGGTCTTAGGAATAGAAATAGAAGAAAGACTAGAAACAAAGGTGAAATGAGGTGAAGAAAGACGGTCATAACTCAAAAAGGTATAAAGAGGATAAGGGTTACGAGTAGTACGTGTACCTTTTCTTTGAGCAATGGGAAGAGTCTCTGATGAAGGATCCGAAAGGGAAGAAGCAACAGCAGTGGGCGATGAGTCAGCAAGAGTTGAGTCGATAGGAGGCACAGTTTTGCGACGCTGATAGGTGAGAAGTGGACGGTCCTCAGGTATAGAAGTAATAGGTTGCTCATCTGGAATAGAAGCACCTGCAGCTGGCAAAGACAAGTCAAGAAAAGGGACAGGAAGTACATGATCAACTTGTGACATCTGAGATGGGATAGAATTAAAGGGTTGTTGATCAAGAAAAGTGACATCAGCGGAAACTAAGTAACGCTTAAGGTCGGGAGAATAACAACGATAACCCTTTTGAAGACGAGAATAACCAAGAAAGATACACTGAAAGGCCTTGGATGTTAACTTATCCTTACCAGGAGTGAGATCATGAACAAAACAAGTACAACCAAAGACATGTGGAGTTAGAGGATAAAGAGGAACATCTGGAAGCAATAGATTATGAGGAATGTCATTGTGGAGCACAGATGAAGGCATGCGATTGATGAGAAAACAAGAGATGAGTACAGCATCTGCCCCGAAGTGAAGGGGAACCTGCATATGAATAAGAAGGGTACGGGCAGTTTCAATGAGATGTCCGTTTTTACGTTCATCCACCTCATTTTGTTGTGGAGTGTGAGGACAAGTAGTTTGATGTAAAGTACCTTGTGTGGCCAAGAAATTAGAAAAATCAATAGAAACATATTCCTTAGCATTATCACTACGTAGAATACGAATAGAAACACCAAATTGAGTATGGATCTCAGTACAAAACTTTTTATAAATGGAAAATAGCTCGGAACGATTTTTCATTAAATAGGTCC